TACAGAGTTAATATTTATAGTTAATCAAACATATAATATGAAATCACATAGACTTACAAGAATATTGTTTGAAATAACTATGAAAATGTTTAATTGTTTAATTTTAAATATAATAAAATTTTTTAATTATTTATTATTACTTTTATAGATTTGCTAACAATGATTTTGAAGTAAATGATTATTCTGAATTTTTGCACGATAATGAAAATCATGGATTGAAAACAAATGTGCAATCACAATTACAATATGTGCGAGTTGAAGGTGCTGGAGTGTTACACAATGAATTATCACCAGCTGTTATGATAATTGGAAAATCTCCTTACATAAATTCTATTAATGTTACAAATTCAGCATCTCATGGGATATCTGTTATTACATTTAAACACCAAAATATACATCTCTTTTCTAATTGGTCAGTTGCAATTTTTGTAGTATTTAATTTTATTATACTTAAATTATACCTTATGCTGTAGGATTGAAAATAATACTGGAATTGGTATTAACATAATTTCATTAACCGGAGAAGGACAAGAAAATGATGAAAGTTCCTTTGACGTATTAAGACAAGTGAATATTCCTAAAGATACATTCGGTTTGTTGGATATGTGTGATCCCATTAAAGATGTAGTAGTGTATGAACGAATGATAGTACACTTCAAATACAGTGATCAACCAATATCTTGTGTTAAAATTTTCCGTAGTTATTTGGGAACTAAATCGTTAGGTTTAAGGTAAACAAATTAATAATTAGTATTCATAATTTTTTTTAAGGTAATTGTTTTAATTTGTATTTATTATGTATCTATAGATTACTACAATTAAATTTAGCACATGAAAGTGATTATGTGGGAATATATGATGGAATAATATATAATAAAACTTCTGAAATTATTCGTCTGGTTAAATCTCCAAAATCTCAAAGAAGAAGATTCATCAAATCCACATTTGGTAGCATTAGTTTAAAAACTATAGCTCGAGCTGCTTCTTCCCGTGTTTATGGTTTTATTGCAGAAATTATGACCCTTCCCATTGCCGCAATTGGTTTTGGTAAATATATATTATTAATCTTTAATATTAATATAAGATTTTACAGATTTAATAACTTATAAGTTATAATTATAATGAAATTAAAAAAAAATTAATTTTTATTAATTAATTTTAGATCGAAATACTGAACATAATATTTCATATTCAGTGATCAATAATAACTTTATGGGTGCTATAAGTTATGCATGTGCAGGTGAGGTAAATCCACATATTAGTGTTGCTTGGAATAAGATAATAAATAATTGTCGTCATATACCCAATTCAAATATAAGTACATGTGATATGCCTATCCAATTTCAATTGCAAAATACTCAAAGTTTACTTCTTCATGTAAGACATTTTTTTATGTAATTACTAATTAGTTAAATATAACTTTTATTAGATGTCTGATGGCTGGTATAAATCCCTTTTTATTTTTTTTTCTGACTGTTCCTATTTATTATTTATCCTTACTTAATCTATACAATTATTGTTTATTCTAAAGTAAATTATGCATTATTTTATCCATCTATCCTAATTCTTAGTTTCTGAATGTCCCTATTAAAAACAGATTATGCAATTCTTTTATCTTCAAGTTTGCCTTCTCAGGATCACTTACATACTTTGTTATCCTTTAGAATTTTTTTTCATAAACATTCAAATATTTTTAAATATTTTTGTATTAAAATGATAATAATTCCATGTTTTCATCCATTTATTCTTCAATTTCATCAACTGTGTTCTAATTTTTACGATTTATTATTAACTGTTTTATTTGTATTTATGTTTAATTTATTTTACTTCAATTTTTATAGACATATAGGTAAAATATTTTTCAATGTTTTAATTTTTTACTTTAGAATAATCTTGTTATGAAAAATCAAGGTGGTCTTAAAGTGACAGCTGATTCCAGTGGATTCGCAACTGCTTTACAAGCAATTATTCATAATAATTTATTTACTGAAAATGTTAATTTGCCTGTATTAAATATTAGTGGTGTACGTGTAGCGCCTCAACAACATATAACTATTTACCGCAACTTTTTCACTGATAATATCGCTCCTTATGAAAACATCATCCAGCTCGTACAGGTAATTATTTATTTTAGTAGCTTAAAATTTAAAATAAAATCTTGTATTATTTTTAATTTTCTTCTACTTCAAGGTTATTTCAAATTTTACATTCAACTACGTTTACAGTAACATTGGTTTTTATGTTCTTCAAATGTCTGGTTTTCAAGGAATCCGATTGCCATTACAGTCTTCAACCTCACATAATGGATTTTATTGGTGAACATATTTTACAATTTAATTGTGTAATTGTATAAGTGTAAGTATTAATTTAATTTTGTTGTTATAGGAACGAAGCAACAAACTTACAAAACAAAGGAACAATATTAGCTTTATCAAATGGTCAATATTATATACATAATATATTTTATGACCCTGAAAATAACTATGAAATTATAGCTGCAACCAGTAATAATAGATCAAAGTAAAAACATTTTGATTTTAATGCTTTTTAATTAAAATAATTATCATTACAATAATATCTGCAGTGATTACATTTATGCTATTGATGGTTCCATTGATGCTCGTCACAACTATTGGGGTTTTAATGATACTATTGCTGTGCATGGACGTATCAAAGACTACAAAGATGAAATAGAATTAATGCCAGTTGATGTAATACCGTATTACTCAACAAATAAAACTATTTTAGAATCAGAAAAATGTCCTCCACCATGGATCCTAATGCCAAATTCTAATACCTGTTATGGGTACATTGCAGTACCCATGACGTTTCATGAAGCTAAAACATTTTGCATGGTAAGTAATGCACTTAGTGTTGTTGAATATAGATTAAATGTTATTTCTAATTTTTTAGACTATGAATGCTTCTATGCCATTCATTACTGGTGATTATGCAAATATCAGGAGAACATTGCAATTACAGATATATGACTATGGCCTAATATGGGTTCAACATATTGACTACATTGGTCAATGTACAGCTCTTGGTTTTAACAAAGTACACACTAATTTAGAATGTGCTTTTCGTAATGCCTTCATTTGTGAAATGGGTAATAATAAATTTACTTTAAAACAAAATAATTATTAAGTGAAATGATAATTTCTTTATTATTAATAAAATATTTATTTGTTATTAGACCCTCAAGTGACGATTAATCCATTAAAATGGCGTGATGATTTTGTTAACATTGCTGTTACGGGATTAATATTTGGTTGTTTGATTTGTGTGGTATTTGTATTATGTTGCTGGTGGACAAAATCAAAGCAAAGGCAGGTTCAAAGGCTTGATAGACGAAACTCTATTCGCCAATCGTTAACATCTTTACGGTCATTATCCCTGTCACAGCCTGCATTTTCTGAATTAAATTACCGACGTAAACCAGTATGTTAAAATAATTTTATTAATTTTATTTTGTACAACCATAGCGTTTTATAATTTTTAACAATAGTATTTGGGAAAAATTTTAATATTATATTAATTTATAGATAATTGATAATAGCAGTGGTTTTAACACAGTATCATCTAAAGCCAATGGAAGTAACGATTCCATAATGAAATCACAATTCAATTCATCTGTTGATGAATATGAGCCAAGTGATCTGTATGAAGTACACAATGTAAACGATCCCATACACATCGAAAATGATTATGATTTAGCATATAAAAATAAAGGTAATTTCTTAGCTTTAGTATTGATTTTAATAAATGGTAAATAAAATTATCTCTTTATATTTAAATTTAGGTTTTAGAGATAACTCAACATTTGCATCTACAGTGGGTATGTGGACAGACTTAAGTAGCCGAGGAGTATATAGTAGTGCAGAAGTCCTTGAAACAAATTTGGATCAGGCACCTTCACCTCCGCCCAGATCACATAGCCAACCTCTAGAAACCTCAATGTGATATATTATAATCCTATTTACCTAATTTTAATTTTTGTATTTATTTATATTGCTTAATCGATCTCTTAGTCCAGAGACCACTCACCCAATAGGATAAATTGTATGATATTATGTTCATGAAGTATTAATAACGATTAATTTATTTATACATATTTACTACTAAGAATTTGTGCTTAAAAACATTACACACAAGTGCACTACACTGCCTATGACTATATTTAAAAAGTCCCTTAGTTTATTTTTTCGTGGATATACGGACATTTTTTGTTAGGTTTAGGGAAATTGACAAGGTATATTTTAATTTTTTGTTTTGTTTTATTTATATATTTATATATTATGTATACGCATGTAATTTAGACATAATTTAATTAAGAGTTTAAACATTTTGTACTGTGATTAAAACGAAAAAGTATTCCGTCCAGTTTACTAATCACACGAGCCGTCCAGAATAAAAAAAATATTAATATCTATTTATAATTAGCATGATTTTTTTATTTAGAAACAACCAATAAGTTAATATGTATCTTTTTTTTTTTACATACATAAATATATAATAAATGTTTTTTTTTATACAACAATGTGTTATAATTTCATTTAATGTGACGTAGGTACTCTCTAATATTACGGAGAGGTAAAACCTATTTGTCACCGGAATATGCAAATGAGCGAATGATGTCAATAACTGATACGGATGGGATGCCCTCATGCTGAGAGAATTATTATTATTTTTTTTTCTTCAGTCCATTTGTTTTAATGCGTTGAAAACTTTCACTCGGCCAGTGGTTCCCATTCGAATAAATTTTTTTTCTCCATTAGATCAAAAGAAAAATCGCTTTTCGTCGAACCAATGAACCTCGGCAGAATTTTCACTGCGCATCAAAATTGGCACTGGTTACTCATAGAAATCCCCATTAGGTGCATCGATGTCGTCGATTTGTCAACGTATTCGACAGGTTTGACGAACGTGACCATGGTTAAGGTCCAATGGTTTTAGGTCAATAATTAGTAACACGTTTGCGGTGCGTATTTATTAGATGCTTGACTTTGTTTTCTACGTTCAGTGTGGCACTAGTGTGATCACCGGGCAGATTCTATCGATTGATCATTCGGTGGTGTAAATCGGCGCGCATTTTTCGCGTAGTTTAAATCTCTCTAGTCCCCGTGCCAATAAGTAATAATCGTTGTCGTTCTTTTTCACGAGCAGGTGTATATCGATGGTGAATATGATTTTTTCGAAAATAATAGTGTGCGTCGTTATACCATTGCTATCTTCCACGTTCGTTCAGTCAAACCGAGGTAATTTTTTTAAAATTTATATTTTGAAAAAAAAATTTCAAATCATTGTAACTACGAAATGACTATTGATTGATTTTTTTTTAGATTTTGCTCATCGTTTGACTACTATTGAAGATTTAGCGACACGTGACAACGTCATAAACGTGCCGGTAGCTTTGCCTACTGGTTATGTTGTGAATCGACCGTCTCAAAATATAGCTTCTGCAGGAGATCGAGTGGACGTTAACAAAGAACCAAGCAAAGAAGTATTTGAACTTATTATTAAACTTCTATGATACGCTGTTTAATGACTAATAAGTACAGCTGAACAAGTTAACAATTTTTTGACTTAGTTTAAGTAATAAAAAAAAAAAAAAAAAACAATAATATAACTAAGCTAAGTTAAAATTAATTTTGAAATACTAATTAATTTGAGTAACTAAGTTACTAATTTTCAGAAAGATTTTAACTTACATAATTATTTAAGTTAAAAGTTTAATAGGTACCTTTAACTATACTTATAAACATATATTTATCTCATTGAAAGGAAAATTTCTAGTTTTGGCATATGTAGTTTAACAATATTTAATAGGTATCATTATTATCTATTATTTCTAATTAACAGATCGGTTTCTTCCAGACGATTTGGGTAATCATGCACAATGATAATAATATTGTCGCTGCGTTCACACTATAATATTTACAATTATGTACAATAGCTGATATTATTCGATTTTTATACGTAATAAAATAATTACTACAAATCAGTGAAAAATACAGCTCATAAGAAAAAAAAATTGTAAAGAATTTTTTACTGACAACTTTAATTTTAATTTTAACAACATAACTATGTTAAGTTATAATAATTATTTATATAAGAAAAAAATAACTTAGTTACTAACTATACGCTATGTCTTAACATTATATTGTTTTTAATTAGTTAGGTATGTTAAAAGCACCTAATCAAAATAATAACATTTAACTTTTTTATTAGTTACTATTCGGCTTTGCTAATAAGTAGGTAATAACATGTAATTATTTAAATTCACATCGTTATTTTTAAATTTATTCAATAAATTCACGCGTTATATATGTCGAATAGTTTATGCTATAAATATTTATAACTCAATACATAATCTTTCATGATTTAATAAAAATGTATTGTTAAATTTATAGGTTTCAGAAACTGATATGTATTTATTAGGAGCTATAGAAAAATTGGTGCATAGAATGGACTTAATGGAAAAACGATTGAAACGATCAGAAGAACTAATTCAACATATTGTAGAAGGAAACGCAGCCAACAGAGAAGGTTAGTCATAATCTAAATAAAATTATTCAGGGTTTAAAAAATAGAACTAGTCAAACTAGACCGTAATACTTAGTTATTATAAATTATATTTACTTATATTTCAAATATGTTAATAGTTATTAAAATCAATAACCAATGCTCAATTGCTATAAAACGACTTGCATAATGTGCATGCTTAAAATTTAAAAAAACTTTAGTATGTGAAATTTAAAAAAGCTATTTGCACTAAACGTATTACACTTTAATATGAACGTATAGGTAAAATTATTTACCAATAAATGATTGACATTTTTTCAAATTATTATTTTAATAATACTCAATAGAACTTGACATTTGTACCTAATTTGAGTATCGACATACCTTGATTAGTTAAAGAATAAAATATATTAGAGGTAATGTGATTGTAAGGGGAGGTTCTCGGGAGTACCATAGCTTCCATGCTATGGATAACCAAATAGTAAAACATTTTTGGTACATTTAGAAATATTATTGTAGGTCAGTGAGAGTAGATTTGAATTTTTTCAGTTCTGCTATAATTTTCACACATCACCCGATATTTTGCAGTTTCTAGTTGTTTTCACGAGTGAATTTAGTATAATATTCATGCGATATAGCTAGGTTATATAGTACATATATTATCAACTATTAAATCGTAAGTAATAGCCAAAAGTACATTTTAAATTCGTTATTTCGGTGTAGTGTATAAGATATTGTACCTACTAGTCATATATTCACAATAACCGTAGATATTATAGGTATTTATTGATCATTATTAATAATTTATAAATACGAATATATTAATAATAGGTAAATACCTAATAATACTAATTGAAGAACGCTCTGTAACTGCTGTAGATGTAAACTGTTAATGCCGTTAGTGGTTAAATCAGTTTTTCCTAAACTGCTTCTCTAATAACTATCAATATTAGTAAATCAAATAGACATACGATCCACATTCCATTTCGTTTTTTGTACATCGTATACAAACCATAAACGTGAATAATGGATGATTCAAATTTTCATTAATCTATTGCATACTGTGTAGGTAGGTACTTATACAGAAAATAACTTGTTATTTTGGCCATGTGTATAAATTAACCAATTAGGACAGTAAGCATTTCTAAATTTTTAACAATGTAATCATAATATTCACAATTATAATAATTGCATTTGTTTTTAAATTAGCACTTTAGAGTTTATTTTATACAGGTATTGAAATGAATTTTCAGATAATACTTATAATACAATATTTTATTATAATGTAGCATGTATTTACCACTATGTTGTTTGGACAATAGAATGCATAGTTTTATTTGATAATTCACTTATAAATAAACGTTAAAACATACCACATATTATTTGCCAAAATTGTTTTATCCCAAGTTTTGAGTAGTTATAGGATCTTTTTATTTTTATTATGAAGCCAATACTATGTTATATTGTTATTCATAAATAAATCATAATTTATTATTATAGTTATTTAGTATTATGTATTCTATAAAAAAATGAAGTTCCAAATACAATTCTAATAACATGTTACCGCATTATTTAAGTATAATATAGAACTAATACGTATTTACAATTAACGTGGCTAAGCCAACTAACCATTATCGAAGTCCGAAGTCGTAACAAATAATAATTATTACGATATTTAAGTGTTAATAATGTTAACTTTGTAAATCCTTAATAACTTAAACTTAAACGAAAACAACAAACAATATAGACATGTAGTCATCATATAGTCATTTAATAGTACCTAAAGCTATATTAATTACTTTAAACAAAATACAAATAAGTTCCTAATTAGGTATTTAGTTATATGAATTCGTGCCTATATTAGATAGGTATTAATAAACTATGCAATTAAATACTATAGTTATATTTTGAAGTATAATATTTATTACTCAATTTTTAATTTATGGTAAAAATAATGAATATTGTTTTATTATTAATCATCACTTCATAGTAGCCATGCAATTGCTTCATTCGATTTTCTGTGTAAGGTATCATAAAGTATGTTGCTGTGTTAAAGCATATTTATAGCGATTGTACACCTGGCAGTCGACACATTGACTGCAATTAGAAATCGAGATTCAAACTAAAGATTACCTATAGGTAACATTTTTTTTTTTAATTACTTTCTTTTTAAGTCTGTGATTAACATAACTAAAACAAATTTAACACGTTTTTCAAATTAGTTTGTCTTGTTTATTATTATTATACACAAATTCTAAGTAAAGCGATGTGGCAGTGCTTGATGTTTTATTAAAATAATGAAGTGTGGCCTATACTATAAAATAACACAATAAGCTATGGTAATTTTATTATTAGAGTTATTAATCTATTTTTTAAATAAGATTCTTTACATTTATTGATAATCCTTTTAATTTCTATACGACAAAAAAAGTTTTTTTTTATCACATAAACTTATCTAATTTTTATACTGTCTACTGCAGACGTGACTGACGTACGAAATCAAACTGGTTTTAGTAAAAATTTTCGGATTATTATATTTTATTTTCTGAATAAGTCTTAAATAATAAAGGTAATCTCAGATAGAGTTAACATTTTTTAATTTACCCGTATAAAATATATTCTATTCAATTTAAGAAACGTAATTGGCCGCGAGACTAGTTTTCATTGGGCAATGGTTAGAAAACACTCATTTGTCTATTACTGCCAAGCCAACCATCTGTAAGTCTACGTCCTATAGGTACGGTGTATAGTGAAATCACGCTCCTTGCACAATAGTCAACCACCGACTACGTTTCTTAACTTGAACATACCATAGTATAGTAAACATATTATAATGATATTTGTAGTTGAATTAAATCAAATTGTACACACATTTTAAGTTAATAAAATTAACTTGTAATTCGTATTACATTCCTTAGATCTTAGTTAGTTAGTAAAAAACAAATTTATAGTGTATTTAAAAATTAAAATATTATCAAGTACATTAATTTTATAGTTTGTTTTAGTACTGTGTATATTATACCTATATGTATTAGTATTATATAATATACGTTATATATGTATAATCCATATTCTGTTTTGGAACGGAGTATACATTATACATGTATTAATATATATATATATAACGTAATTGGTTTGGAATTTTGATACTGAATTGAATATACATGTTTGATTTTATGAATAAACTGTGAGTGATTCAGCTTATTGTTGAATGCTTGAATAGCTATTATTTATAATATAGTTGATAAATTTTGTTGTCTATAGCTCAAAGAGTGTATAGGTAAAGTAACAAGTATACATGTACAATTGAGAAATACTAAACTAAAAAAATATTTTATCTGAATATGACACATTATATTTAGGTAACAATGTATTATAAACTTTATTTTCATAACTGAAATGTATGTATATGGTATATCTACTATATTATGTTTACTCTTAGACTCTCGAAACTCGTAATCAAAACAATGTTATATGAATAATAATTAGGTAATATATTTCAGTAGAACAATATTATTATAAGAGGAACACATATTTTGTAATTTTTTTTAAATATTTATAGATATAACTATTTATAATTACGTCTAAATATAATTATATATGATTTTTCTAATAGAACATCAGAAGCTTATGATAATATACTATATCTAATATCTATTTTATATAAAGAAAAATTATGTTTTATAAACAATCATACTAATATTTCTACTTATTAAATAATATCTACCTAAATTTGATTTTAAATTTTTTATAATTAGAAATATAGTACTACTTAAATAACAGATAATTATCAAAAAAAAAAAGCAGAGTATCTATACTGATTATTTTAAAATAGTAGTTATATCTTTTACATGCTTTCATTTTATAATTATAGCAATAATAATATTACTTATTACTATATACTTACACAATAAATAAGCAAAGAATGATGTATAAATATATTTAAGTCATATTATACTATTACATAAATAGTGAATACATATTATAATATAATAATTACATAAAAATAAATATTTAATATTTATTGATAGTAAATCGATATAATAATATTATAAACAGTTCAAGTGCAAGAAACGAAAATACTGAACGACAACACTTATAATTTTTAATTACGATATCTATTTGACATATTTTTTATCAAATTTTTCTGGTTTTGAATATCATAATATTTAATAGTATGACTTCATCAGATTTTCTCGAGCCTTAGTTAACCTAAAGAATATTTTTCAGACATAATTTATAAATGAAATTTGTAATATGAGGAGTGGGCATATCGCGAGAGTTAGTGTTGATATTCAAATATTTGTAAATAGAAATTTAGTAATAACTAATAATAATTATATTCAGTACGTGCACGTATGAACACAATAAATTTGTTGTATAATCGTTTGTGCACAAAATATATTCTACGGTAGATCATTATCATTTTATTATTTTTAAATATTACACCTAATGCTATTTTTTTTGTACAGATCCTTGTCCAGGCAATTTTACGCGTATCTCACACACATGTTATCACTTTAGTGAGAGACAGTATAACTGGAAGTCAGCCATGTCGATGTGCAAGAGTTTGGGAGGAAATTTGTTAGAATTCGACAACAAAGACGAACAAATTGACGTGCTGACGTACCTCATCGGTGACAAGTATCTAAGAGGTGAAGGATTATTTTTTTCTAAATATGAAGTTTGCAGAATGTTTTTAACGTTAAAGAAATAATTAATTTAAAAAACATTTAAGTGGCGATATCTTTTGGAGTTTATTTTTTTTTTTTGACAAAGGCCTACATTTTTTATTTTATAATCTAAATGAGAATACTTTTATAAAACTTTATGAATCATGATTTAGGTATATCATTTATATCAAATCAAATATTGAACAATATTAGTTTTTTTCAATTAATGCATCAAAACTAAATAGTAATGCATAAAAAATTCAATTATTTTTTTAAAAAATTATCTATATTTTATAGTTAATAGAAAAAATAAAGAATGGAAAGGTTCACGTAAAAAAATCACCCACTATACATTACATTCATTACAGTAATGTATAATATAATTTATACGAGACAAATAATTGAAAATTATACGCGCGTGCACTGCAGCTGCAGGTGTAGAACATTAAAATCGCTTATTTAAAAAAAAAAATTCTATAATACGTGTCGGAATAACTGCAGGTTACGACTATTGGACGGGCGGCCTAAACCCTGGACTGCTTTGGATATGGGCTAACAGCGCGCGGCCCGTTGTGCCCAAGGATTCGACGAGGCCCGAGGATCAGATCAGCGGGTCCGGTCGGTGTTTGCGCCTCACACCTAACGCGACGACAAAGGTATACTCGTACTCTGGCGCTGAGTGTAGTAACCGGCACCGATACGTGTGTAAACACGAGGAGAACGCTACGGATAAAGCGCTGACCAGGATACACAAAGCGCTTAAGGACGGCAGCCAGCAACCGAAACCGACTACTGTTTTCGGATCATCGCCACTGATTGCGGCCACCGTATAACCGTATGCACTATACTTTTATAAGATAAATAATAATCTATTGTAAATTATGTGATAACCGATAAGTAATTCACGCATTACCTTTATGTGTATAAATAATTAATTGTGAATTCGTTAAGTCCTACGAAAAATAATTTGAACGCACGTGAAACTCGCGAACGGCTATGAAACTTAATCGTACAAAAATCGAGATTAATATAATAGTAATAGGTATTGTAATTTTTTTTTTTATTATTTATATATAACATATAAATTAATGTTTTCTGAAGACCGCTTCTCAACGTACGTACTCCTTATTTTTTACGTATTTTGTCATTATGTCATATTTATATTTATTACACATTCCACGGAATATTTTAATAAAATATTTGTGGTTTTTTTTTTAAACGTTTGTTTTGTATACTAATAATATTATATCATTGGCGAAATGACGACTATCGGCGTCATTGCAACATACGCGCGTTTTTCGTAACGCTTTTAATTAATCGATATTAAAACAACAGCAATAGAAATTAAAATGATAATAATAATAATAATAATAATAATAACACGAAGTTGGCGAGGAATCGGTTTTTGGAAACTCTAAACGGTCAGCAAGTCGTTGACAGTAGCAATAGCGACGATTAGCGCGGCGGCGACCACGGTGCAGACTTCGTTTCTACGCCCATCCGAAAACAACGGCATCGTTCGTTCCATCATCCATTCGTAACCAAGTCGGCTACTATTGTTTTTTTGGAGCTCGGTACCCACCAACATCCTGATCTTGTGATTGTACGCGTTTAGCCACTGCACCTAATGCGATAAAAAAAAACCATATTGATTATATGTTGAGATCATTCCCCATTTCCCTGGTAAAAAAATCTCAAAATGATCATGTAGCATTTAAAAAAAATGTGCGAGATCTTTTTTGGTTTTGTTCAAATATATTTTATAATAGTACTTACTTGTTTTGGGCTGAGCATGTAGTAATCGATGAGCTTTGGTTCGAACGGTACTAGAGTGATCGGCACGAACGTCAAATATTTTCCCATTGTTCCGTTCTGTACAATCCATACAAGTTAAACATTTTTAGCGATATTGTTTTTTCTTATTCAACACAATCTCTCGATTTCACAATTAGATAATATCTGTAAGTACGCACTACATAATTACCTTTGTAACCACTTCTAAAATAGTTTCTAGACGTACACCAAAATGATTTTCTTTATAATAACCGGGCTCTGTATTTAAAAAAAATAACATTTATTATTCTTAATTAATAAAATATAATATACAACATATTTTAATAAATGAGCGCTTCTGCAATTACGCTCTGCATGTAATATATAATGAATAAACTGGAGATCGGATATTTGAATAGTTATCGTACAATCATTAATAATATTAATAATAAATAAGCAATTCTACCTACTTACCGTCAGATATAAAATATCCTTCCTTGAGCACTACATCACTTGCTTTTTGCCCATAGTACATATTAACGGGTGCTTAAATATGTAAACAAATATAACATTAAACTTCTTAGTTATTTTAATTATCTTAAACAAATTAAAATTAATAATTGTACAATATATTTTTTTAAATAGGCTGATTACCAAACACCAATACGGTAGTTATATTTTTAAAGATCAAATTTTGACTTTCAGTTTTACGTTTCTGCATGATTATTATTAATTAGTATCTAATTACTTTTCTTGCCTTGATTAAATTTATTTACCGTTTTCGCTTTATTAAACTAATTAAATATTGCTATTAGAAATTATAAACATTGTTCTAGAAAACTAAAATATACAATAATAACTGTTATTTATCTGCAGACTGTTAATATGGATAAATTCTCTTTGTTTTTTTTTTTTATTATAATATTAAAGGATTTAGGTATATATATTTTATGTCACCAGACAATTATAGACATTAAATCGTGTTCAGTATTAATTATTTAAGATAGATTCTCAATTTTTTCTGGTCCATGGACCCTTTTAAAGTACAAAATATAACCACGGACTCCCCATCAAATATATATATATATATATATAATCAAATAAATGCGAGCAAGACATTATTGTTGTTATCTATCTTAAAAACGCTATCGAAACAAATTTATTTTTGGGCGGACTCCCGAGTAACTATCTACGGATTCCGAAGAGGTCCACGGACCCCCGGTTAAGAACCTATAATTTAAGAGTATATTTTGATTTTCATATATATTTTAACACAAATACATTGATTGAGAATTGAGATAATATGATTGATGTAGATGTTTCAATTAATTATATAGTATCTAATACTGTAAATATATTTATATTTTTGCGCAGAAATTATTATCAAATTTTATTATTTTGTTACAAGTATTTGGCGATGATAGTAGAAGCTTAATTATAGAGTTTAATCTCAATGAATATTTTTTGAGTATAAATTAAGAATTTATTTCAATTACAATTAAAAATAATGACCGATTATGTTAATATTTAATGTATAATGTCGTATCGTCATAAATCAATCAAGAATTGGAAACCTCAAAGGGGTGTTATGTATGTGATTCAATGACTTATTCCGTCTCTTAAACAATTCATAAATACGCCGCTATGTAATGTACTAGTGTATATCGTATTTATATTCTATACATGTAATTATATATATATATATTTATAACGTACACGACAATCGAAAACCGTGCAAACTTTCTACTGTCATAATGGCGTTATATTATATAATTGTGCAATATTCAACAATCGAAGAACGAGAAACGGGCTACAGTCATAAATATCGGAATTGATGTCACATATCCCTTTGATAAAACACATAATTACGTATAAGAACAGTTGATGACGTAAAATAATTGACAACTTTATAAATGTTTTAAATATAGATTATAAGTGAAAATATATAAGAGCTATTTCAACTCACATCCTGTTGTTGCAATTCAGTGGCGTAGTTATATTTTATTCTGAGGGGTATACATAATTTATTGGATAAACATATAAAGTGGGGGGCTTATAATCATGCCTTTCCGTGGTTATAGCATAATATGGGTAATTTTATAATCTTATGTCAAGTATAAATCAATGTATTAAACATAAAAAAGAAGGTTCTGGGAACAATCTATTCTCCCCCCCCCCCAAAAAAAAACAAAACTACACCACTGCTGCAAGTCTATGAATATATACAACAGGGATAGCGAATTCGTGGTGTACGTTAAGGGTATTTGGATTTATCCTTGCTTTTCATAAGAAAAAATAAATATAATATAATATAATGATCATTTACGCTCATGGACTTTGAGAAACACTCCGATTCCGTGGCTGGTACCGTGTTTGTAGTCGTAACCGAAATCCCAGAGTGGTGCCCTGGCAATCACGTCAATCTGATTAAGTTTTAAATTGTACGGAAATGTGAACGACGCGAGATCGATGGACGCCATCAACACTCTCGTGTATGCTTCGATTTGTTCAGCCGATGGCTGTCCGAAATGCACCGTCCTAGTCACATCCGTAGTTCCGTCTGCAGCAGATAAGATACATATGTACAATTTAAATATTATTTTTCCAAATGGTATTTACATTTTTATTTCACATTAAATATTATTGTATTGATATATTTTTATTACGATAATTTCATGATCCGTGCGAGACGTTTTGTATGATGATTATTTTTTGATTAAATTTCCATTGTGTTTTTCGATGACATTTTATAACAATTAATATACAAGTAGCAGTAATAAATTTAATACCATGTTATTTAATAACCATATCCTGCACGTTCAGAAATGATTAAGAATAGATATATATATATATTCAAGTTTAAAAAGTGGAATTTTAGTAGTCATTAATTAATAATTTGATATTTTGATATAGCTTTACCAGAATGATTACATTTATTTTATATTTCAAAAATATTAATGACTATAATATAATTCGATTACATAGGATATCTGGTCATCGTGATAACCGATATTTCCGATTTGGGTGGGTCCTAAACGAGTCTTATATCTGTATGCGTTCCGGTAAAGTGGTGTGTGCCGTATCAAAATTTAAAACTATCGTCAAATCGTCAATTATAATTTTCGGTGCCCTTTGGCCTTTGGTAAGAGAATCGGTGACGCCAACAGTAAAAAAATCGTTTTACTACCGACATGGCATTTAGAACGTTTGGTTGACCTACATTTTTCATGAAAAATGATAAATTTACCCTATAAAACATTTTTTATGCTCGTTAATAAATAAATATACTTTTATGTAATATTATAAACTAGTATGTAGTGTCGTATAATATATGTATTTTGAATTGTATAAACTTAGAAAAATAATACAAACGTAAATTTCTCATAGTACTGTTCTTAGAAATCCAAATTTCGTAATATGTAACCCGTTTGTAATTTAAGCGTAATGTAAAAATGAAACGTCATTTTCGATTATTCACCTATCTGTAATCTGCAATTCATGTATAACGGGTGTTTATTCTATATTACTATTCATAGATTTTGTCATCTCAAATGCAAATAAATACATTATGTGTTAACCAAGTCCGTGTGTGTATAATTGAAACTTAACTTTTCGCTTTTTTATATATTAAGTATGTTTAATAAGCATTAACTACTTATTAAATTAATGTTACACTCACATTATTATAATTTCACTATATATATTATACCTAATTTTATTATACTAATTTATATGTATATACGAGACTGTCTTGAGTGATTGATTCCTAATCAACGCAAAACCGAACCTATTAAAGCTATCGATTTGAAATTTTGAGGGTAGATTAATATTATAATTTTACCGGTGCACTAAGAAAAGATTTTTCAACATTTTGATTTTAAGTTTAAATCGATTAAAAACAAAATTTTAAGTGTAAATTGTTTACCTATATACATCGATGATTAAGCACTTAAAAGTCGTGAGCCTCTAGCTCACAATATTTAGGCTCTTGTTCACGTGGATAATTTTATGTGGCATGCTCCAAAGTCAGTACGCCCACAGGTTTAGTCATTTTAGCATAAAATGGAAATATATATCAAATGTAGTTTATATAGAAGTTTTATAATTAAATTTATTGACATAAATTATTATTATTTTTATTACATACTTATCAAAAGTTGCGAGCAAAGCCGTTACGGGTAACCCACTATAGTTTGTATTTACAGTAATGATATAACGTGAAAACGTGATGTATAATTGTATAAATGTAGGTATAATAATTCTATCGTATTTAAAATCGTCTAAAGTTGGTTAAATCAAATTTGTTATTGCGCTCAACGCCCAACTCACCCCAGTAATGAGCACCGCTGTCAATGACTAATGTACTAATGTGATCAAGTTTCAAGCTGCTCGAAGTCGACGGTGTATAGTGAGGTATAGCCCCATT